AGGAGGAGAGAGTGTAGGTAGATGCTACGCAAGTCTACCGGCACTATAAACCCCTGCGTAAGTCACCGTCCCTGCTCCCATTGCTGCTGCAACTGTGGGGCACACGGTGGACATCATCGAAACCGATGGTCGAACTGTCATCTTTTACAGAGTATCATTTTTGCAGGCAACCGGAAAGAAGTTCGTTCGAAAGCTGGAATCCTGAGGTAAATGACATTTCGTGAAATTTCCTGAGTTAACCCACCTACTGTGATTAGGCTTCCTAATAATCCACGAATTTTAAACTTAGCTGCACACTGCTACTTAAACTTTAATTTGAATGAGTCCCTTCTGATCGTCGGGTGAAAAGAACTGTAAAGATAGACAATCTACACTTAAATCGACCAAGGATCCCTCTAATGCATGCTTGCTCACATGCTCTGTTTCAGATAATCCTCATGTACGCACCAAAACTATGCTAAATTCAATCTTGTTGATGAGACCGGTGTTGCGTAAAGTGTTCGGGTCAAAGGCTTCGGGTAACTTACCGCGTTGAAAAGTATTCAGCACACGGTGCCCTCAAACCGTCTATTCGAAGTTTTTAAGCCACCTCCAACAATTCGCCCAAGTTGGCTTCCGTAATCTCAATCCTTCCATTGTATGCAAACCTAATGCTCATTTCTATCATCCTATGAACCACGTCAGGCAAAATTCATGTGACGCACTTACTCAGGCGAAAGCCGCTTTAGCTCCTCAAAATGGGCACATCCCCCTCCATGGAGAAAGACTTCTCTAAAGAAGGGAATCGTGGCTGCGAGAACAACCTTATGCGCCACAATGCACACACCATTCGCCTTTGAATACATCAAAACTATCAAATAGTAGAACCTACAAAGAGCGTGAAGTCACATAATCTGCCCTGTTTCCGGTCTCTTTCCAAGAGGTTGAAGGGTCTGTACTACTGTGACTGGAAGGTTGTCATCGTGCTTCCAGGCAAGCTGGATGCCAAGTAAGCAAATGCACCAGCCTGTTCAGTATGGCTGTGCAAGGACGGTGACTTACGCGTGAGTTAGTTTATAGTGATAGCAGACTTGCGCAGCACCCATCGCACTTGCTCCTCCCTACTCCCCACCTGGACCCCGTGTCGAGACAGAGTCAAGAAGACCCGAGGTGGGTGTCACGGTCGAACCCGCACCTTGGTGTTCCACTCCACACCCCCTGGTCTGCACAGTAAATGACCAGGTTTTTGACCAATAACAGCACCCCAACAGGGGTCAGAGCAACCAGGATGGCTGGGTAGGCATGTCCACCACCTGTGCACTTAGCGGAAGAGCAAGCGCATCTACCGGCAGGGAACCAGGTCTCCGAGAACTGCCAGCGCATATCAGGATGCGAGGGCCATGATTTGCTGATACTGACATAGCACGCGCTTACAGACCTTTTAACCCTGAAGGGCGACACGTGGTCCCGCATATAGGCTAGACCGTCACCCTTCAAGGTTAGGTAACCAAACAGTCTTCAAGTGAGCGACACTACCCTTTAAGTACGCACACTCTCCTCACGCACTTGAGAGTGTCAAAGATCGCTGGAGAAGCAGCCGCTTCAACCTGGCTCTCAGCCCGCCAGTCCGCCACTCCAAATAAACACGCGCACACCAACTGGACGGACTGCGTGGACTGAAGTGGGCCTCCTTCGACTTCCTTCCGAGCCACGGCGTTCACGCACCGTGGCAGTCTCGGATTCCATACACACAGGCAGCTGGGGGGCCGTATGCAGACGCAGCCGAGACGCAGGCTTCCCACTCGGGTGGGATATGGCGGTTGGGTGTCTTAGGTGGCTGAAATTGATGCGCGGTAAGAGGCTGGTGGCAGAGAATGTGATGGGGTAATTCAGCCGGCGGTGATCTACCTCAGGTTTGCGTAGACGCGCATGTAGCCTAACAGATCCATGCGGTGAAAAAGGTGCGAGCGCAATACGGACAAGTGTGAGGAATGCGACAGGTGTAGGCTGGTGCTCCAGACACCGGGTCGTCAGTCTGTGCGATGGATTCGCAAGTGACTGACTGGGCCGATGTTTTAGGTGAAGGTGCGGTCGCAATGAGGACAGGTATAGACGGGGTCCTCCCCATCGGTGTCGACGGTGGTGATGTTGGTGTTTGTTGGTGTGTCAGGATCGTGTGAAATGTTGATGTGCGTGGCAGACGCCACAGCGGTAAATGTAAAGACAGTGAGGGAGGCGGAGGAGGAAGAGGAGAAGGAGGAGGAGGATGGAAGTGATGGCTCGGGAGGTCGTTCAGAGTTGGTTGACGGCAGTTGGTCCGAAGGTGTCCGCAGGTGCAATTGGTAATTGGAATGTCCGCTTATACCATGTACACATTTGGGAGATTGGACTTTGGCTTTGCGACTTGGGCGCATTTGAGATTTTTGTGCTTCGCGTTTGGCCTTCGTGGCGGCGATGCGGCCTGCCTCGTAGATTACGCTGCCTGTCCTCCGCCAGGTCGGTCAGTCTTGTGCGAGGTCTTCCCGGTTGGCCGGGTTAATCTGCAGTTAAGGTACCAATCCTGGAGACAGGGTATATCCAGGAGGTTGCTCTACTTGCCTACACAAAGTTCCCAACCAGCTATTGATTCTTGCCCTTGATGCCTGATTGTGACTGTCAAAAGTCCACTTTCCACTGTCTCCACTGAAGCGTTTTATTTGGCGATGCCACATTGGCATCAAAATCGGTTTACGTCTTACATCTTTCTGATCACTTGCGTTGTATCGTCAGAACAACCTGGATTCAGTCAAGCTCAGGATGCGGAATTGGACATTTTTAGCAGCAGAGTGATAGTTGTGGAAACTGGTCAACATGCAGTTAGCCTTACTGCCCATGAAATATGCCGAAATCTACACAACGTGACCAATTGCTTGTAAGCCGGCACAATCGATTGCAGCAGAACTCCAAGTTAACAGTGGACAATTTAAACAAGTCGAAAATGTAAAGATAATAAAAATTAAACAGTGATGATAAAATGATCCCAATCTGAAAAGAGATGTGAGTTATTTCGTCTGCGCAGAAAAATCACCACTGATTTTTGTGGAGGTTACCATGGAGAAGGGTGATGTGCATGGACATCAGTCGACAAATTGCCCTATTAAAGCGCTCTATAAGGACATAACCTACCAGAAACTAGTCTTGAATTGATCCAAAGCACATTCGTCTCATGGTTTAGTTATGGAAGTTCGCTTTATGTCGACGATGAGATTTCATGCTCGGCGAATCTAAAAATGCTATCCGAACGATTTGTGAAGAAAATACTTTCTCACGTCCAATCTTCCTTCGGACACACTTAACTCGATGGGATGACTTCGGAGGCTGGTTGGAATGGCGAGTTGGAAGATGCACCCACGCCAACGACACAATCCAAACCACGCGGAAAGTCTCTATCACGTCCCCGCGCGATTGCACACAAACCAAAGGGTAGAGACTTAGGTCAGTTAGGCGGGTCCCGCATGACAGTGCTCATTGACCTCTTACCAGTTTCATGGCTCCCCTCTGCACTCTTTCGGGCAGATTGTAATCCTGGGTCTAGGTCCAGGGTCTCCACGTTTGGGCCACATGTTCAAGATGCAGAATACTAGGGCCTTGGAGAAGAGGTCTTCGTCGAAGACTGCGAGTGTCTGCTTCATGGTGCACAGAATTGCACTTGCGTCCTTAATCGCCTTATAGCATTGTGAAGAAGGCTTTAGCGTGTTAGACATCAAAAATCCGAGATCGTTCTGTGTTTCAGCTTCTCGAAGTGGCATCCCCCTTAGATAGTAGGTGCGCCTATCAGAGACCTGGTTACGATTTCCGAGACGATGAATGGGGCCTTTGTTCCGATGGAATGACAGGAGTTATTTGCGTAGTCACTCTTCCAATCAAACAAACACTTTCTCGCAAATCCACTTCGCCAACAGCACTGGGTTTTCCATCGAGTACTCTTGACCAGTTTTGCACTGTGTAAAGCGAGTTCGTTACGCAGTCTTCCCGTGTGAAGGTCTTGTTGTGCATTAGACAAGGTATTGTGTGTTTCCAAATAACTCATCAGTGCCTTTTTTCATGGTTTCCTCTATAACTTTGCAGTGGATTGAATGTCAGGCTGACGGGATCTGTAAGTGGGCAACGGCTTCCGAAACCTTCTTATCGGGGTCTCTGCGGTTTGGCCTTTCGTTCTGTTTGCGTTTGCATCAGTTGATGAAATTGCGGTGGTGCATACGCAAACAGAACCAAACAGGGCTAAACCGCACGGACCCAACACTTTGGCGAGCACTTCCGTACGTCAAGGAGGTCTCGGAAGCCGTTGACCTCCTTTTCGCACCACTTGGGGTTGGAGTTGCGCACAGACCAGAGGTAAACACCAGGCGTCAAAGAATGACACCGAGATATTCACTGCCATCGCAAGGGACCTCTGGAGTCAGATCTGGTGCGGTTGAGAACAAAGCAACTACCTAGTGTTTCAAGAATTTCAGACTTAACTGTACATTTTTTCTTGAACTTAAATTAGAATGAGTCTTTTCCGATTCTCAGGTTAGAAAAACAGTTAGGGTGAACAGTCAACGCATAACCCAATCAATGATCCCTGTAATGCAGAACCGCCAACTGGACCAGTCTCAGTTAACCACAACTTTCTCACCAGAAATGATTTACTTATATCACTTCACCATTCGATTCCTTCTGGCAAGTCAGTTCCAACTGCCCTTTAGTCTAGTGCATAACCGAGCATGTATAAATGCACCAAATCTAATCTTGGTGTAATAAGGCGTTGTGGCATAACGTATTGGGCACAACGGATTCAGGTGACTTACCACGTTGAAATGTATTCAGAGCACGGTGCCTTCAAACGGTCTATTCGCAGCTTTTTAGCCACCTCCAACAGTTCACCCAAGTTGGCTTCCGTAATCTCAATCCTTCCATTGTACGCAAAACTAATAATCATTTATATCATTCACGTCAAGCAAAATTCACGTGGCATACTTCTTCCCACGTTTACTCCTTGACCCACAAAGCGCGATTCATCCATCTCCCAACTCCCGGTTAAATAAACGTTCTGTTGTTGACAGTCCAGTTCTGATTTTGTCTGTTGAAACCTATGTGATCGAGTGTTCAAGACCCCCATGCAAGGAAGAGTCGATATGAAAATATCTACCGTGGCCTCTATAGACGAACAGCGTCAATCGCCTTCTAAAGACCTCAATCCAGACGAGACTAAGTCGTCAGTTAACTCGAATACTACATAGGGAACCGAATGAGACTTGTGATGACCACAGGTAGGCTTGGTAGTAAAAACATTTGAAGTGAATGCAGTCGAGTTCTTGAAGGCTGTCATTAATATAGAGGATGGAGATAAAGCGTTCGAGAATTGAGCCTTGAAGTACACCGCTGGTCGCGTTTACCCAGTCTGACACCCCATCTCCAATACAGACACGCTGGTCTCGACCAATCAGAAACGCCGTTTTCCAGCTCAGATGATCTCCCGGACGTCGAGGGCGTTCAGTTTATGAAAAAGGTGTTTGTGAGGGACAGTGTCCAATGCTCTACGGAAATAGATTTATACGACATCGACATCAAAGCCCTCTTCCAAAGCCCTGGTCCAGATAGATAAGTGCACTTGCAAGGGGAAGAAACATGAGAGCATAACGATGACTGTTTTGCAAAGCGTCTTCAAGGTGTATCAAAGTAGAGGGTAATTTAACTGATTAAACAGTAGAAGTAATCCTGTTGTATTCGGTGAAGTCACGGCGTCGGAATGGTCCTGGCAATAAAGAAAAGGAGAACGGATAATCGATTCTCAGGAATAAAAATAGAATTGATGGGTGAGCGTAATTTCTGTTGATAAAAGCACACATGTGAGCACCCAAATTTCTGACAGTAAAACAGAAATCACTTCATCAGAACAACTTGATGAAAGGAAATTGGGCAGAATCAAATAATTAAACAAGAAGATGAAGACTGTTGACCGTGTAAACGACCTCATTAATGTGTACTGACTTTACCAGATAGTAAAGCTCACAGTATCATCAGCAAATATAATTCTGCACAACTTAAAGCCAATGCTAGAACCTTAAAGTCTAGCATGTCAGAAGCTGAATAAGCTTATTTTTAAAGCTCGTCCTGGACACATTGCTTGCCAAGGGGCAGACACTCTCACTGTAGATTTATTTCAAAACTCCCCAGACTAATTTCATCAAACTCAACAGTGCCCAGACTGAAATTCTAGACGTGGCATTTGAATAATTAATTCTTCGTCATCTAACCAGATTAGGTGTTACCGTTCAAACAGCATATCAATGTCCTCTCGCGGACGTACAATCTACGATGGAGAAAGAAAAACACATCCAGGTGACCTTTAGTGACTCCCTCTTCTGCCGCAAATATTGTGGTGGTGTAAAACCTCAAGTGTTCAGGGGGAGATGGGTGACGCATGCGACCCGCTACTGCGTTTTGTAAGCAACTATTCGGTCAGTCAAAAGTGCAGTTGCTCAAGAACACTCTGTCAGCGTGCTCAGACGCACTATATTGACCCGGAGGATACGGTTGTCGGACTGTAATACCATCAACGGGTGTCCGGAACGAGTGGCTACCAGATGGGAGGCAGTCATCGATCGCCAATTAAAGAGGCCGAAAGACCCACTGACATGACATGAAACATATATTGTCTCTTATTGCATGCGGGGCGGTTGCGGGCAAGGCAGTAGCGTTAGAGGAACTGGGAGACTACGGCTGACGCTGATGACCAAACACTCAGCAGCAGTGTGGATGAATGACGCCATATCTCAGGTCGCAGTTCATTCGATGGTCTCTTTAGGCAGCGAGCTGCTTGAATCGGGGTTCTCCGACCGACATCTAAGCAGCAAACGCAATGACCTCCCCCCTCCCCTGCCCTCCAGATACAGTGCTGAGACAGTGCCTGGGCGGAGTGATTAGCCAAGAGGGCAGCACGTGGGAAGCACGCGGGCAAACACCGCTTCAGGTGAATGACCGAGTGATTATCGCTCTAATAACCAAAATTGATGATTGAATTGCGGCAGTCTACATATTGAATGCGGACGGGCAAGCATATTCGCTTTGTAGCTTCTGCAGGGTACGTAACCATTGACCATCGGAATCCTCACCGCCTGTAGTGACCCGCAAAATAAAGACGACGAAAATAAGTCTCCGAAGATGAAATAATTTCTAAAAAAAACTTATTTTGGTAGACATGCAAGATTTTTCAAAGTAGGAAAACCTCTGGCCCTATCCCGGCCGCTGCTCAAGCCCAGAGGGTGCGTGTGTGTGTGTTTGTCGGGGAAGTTTTTGTCCAGAGGTACGGTCACGCCAAGAACATTGAAACCTCGCATGTTGGGGGCTTGGGATCCCAGTAAACACATAATCGCCCTCAAAACGTTGTTCTGCACATTGGCCACATCCCAGTAAGAGTTCTGGATCGGCGGAATTAGTTAGATGATGGCACATGGGGCGTGTCTCTCCACACCTGCATCCTAACTTTAACTCTTCCCCGTATGTCACAGTCACCTCCCCTAGACAACCCCAGCCAGATCGGACTCCTTTCCTGGTAAACTATTCACGAGTCAAAGTGGATTTCAACAGCCTTTATTGATGCCTAAAAAGCTTTACTCAGGGATAAGGGACCATGTCAGGGGGTATACAGACGTAAACGAATATCATGTGGCTTGAAGAAGGCTTCCACCGGCCACTTCTACACACGACAAACTGCACGGTCTGTAACAGTTGCCGCGGATACTGCATCCGCAGAACTGCAAGGAAATATTTTGCCTTTTTCTCAATCACAAAAATGCCTACAATTGTTAGACAGTGGCCAGCCCTTTGTCTACGCCTGTGCTAACGACCTATTGTTGGCTAGCTCGATCGCCGGAGAAAAAACAGAACATCTTGTACCGGTGTCTGAGCGCATCCAATGATTGGGTGTTATTCTCAACCCGTCCAAGTGTGTCTTTTGTGTTCCTTCCGTCGAGTTTCTCGAGCACCTGGTCCACTCCATTGGCATTCATCCTCTCCCAACTGCCCAGTTGAGATGAGACAAATACTACACTTCAACAGCAATCATTCCCTCTCTCACAAACGCAACTGTTTCCGCTGCAGCACACCAACCGACGAAAGAGTTGAACGGCAATACCTTCATGACATCTTTCGGGCCAATGGATATCCAAGCTCTTTTAGCAAGCAAAGCAAACACCGAGTGAACAGAAAACGACCACTAGAAGCATAACCCGCAGTCTGAAGGGCTATTACTTACACTAAAGGAGTTGCCGAGGCGGATTCACAACCGGGGCAACCCGCCAGATTAGGCCTTACCCTTCTACACCAGGCAATAATTCTTCGCCGTTTCACGCAACCAAACGGCATACTGCCACCCACTGAAACCTCAACGGTTGTCTATAAATCCGTTGTACCGATGGAGACTACAACAACGTTGGGGAAACAGGACGAATCTGCAGATCCCCTTACACGAGCACAAATTGGCAACTCGACGATTACACCCTAGCTAACAGCTTGCGACTCACATCGAGGAAACTGGCCACAGTTTTGACTTTCAAGGAGCAACCGTCTTAAACCGAGTCACCTCAAGGACAGAAAATCTTACACTTGAGGCTTGGTACTCAGATGCCAACTCCATCAACAGGTATCTAGACCATCCTGCGGCCCAAAAAGTCCTACGTTCACTACATGCGCTATGGCCAGGACAAGACGGTCACACGGAGCTTAAGAACACCGAGAAAACACAGCCCGTTGACTAGTTCACCCAAAAGGGCGACACAACCGCAACTGACCCCAATTGAGGTGACGACATACAACGCAGGAGGCCATCAGCATTCACAAACGACGGTCAGAGGGCTAAAGCAACGAAAGAAGGAAAAAATCGATCAGCCCAAGGCCAAATAATTCTGCTGTGTATTCAGAATTCTGTTCAATTTTTGCATTAAACGCTTTGATGATGGAGAGCCGACTAAGCTCTCCGAAACGGCAGTAATACAATTCACTTAATCCGATGAGAACTTCATTTTTCTTAGCCCACCCCATTTGCTGTCATATCGCGTCTAATCTGGTCCCCAATTCGTGGTATAGGAGGTCACCGATTTCTAATCAGAATACAGTGCGTTACACACCCAATTGGAACTCGACACCGTTAAGACCAACACTGATGAAAATACGCTTTACATCCCACGCCCAATTGGAACACGAGCAGGTAAGCGGCGACACAAGGTGATCGAGACCTAATACTGCGGGAAAATGAGTCCTGCAATGGCCGATGGGATTGAAGTTGAAAGGCGGTTAGACCGGCGCCGTTTTGCCGGTGGATAACCGGCAATGCGCTAGGAGTCAAGCGTGACTAAGTCAAAATCAGAAAAAAAAACTGACTGCATGCCTTCACTACCTCTTGTCGTAACGACATGTCTCGTTCGGTTTCTCATTGGCTAACAAGTTGCCTGTCTAACACCAATCAAAATACGCTTTAAATCCAATACCCAATTAAAACACGAACAGGCAAGCGGCGGCACCAGAATGAACACGCTGGTGCATTTGTTTACTCGGCATCTACTTTGCCTGGGAGCACGATGACTACATTCCAGTCACAGGAACACAGACCCTTCAACCTCTTGGAAAGAGACCGGAAACAGGGCAGATTATGTGACTTCACATTCTTTGTAGGTCCTACTATTTGATAATTCTGACGTATTCAAAGGCGAATGGTGTGTGCATTGTGGCTCACAAGGTTGTTCTCGCAGCCACGATCCCCTTCTTTAGAGAGGTCTTCCTTCATGGAGGGGGATGTGCCGAATTCGAGGAGCTAAAGCGGCTTTCGCCTGAGTAAGTGTGCCACATGAATTTCTCCTGACGTGGTTCATAGGATGATAGAAATGATCATTAGTTTTGCGTACAATGGAAGGATTGAGATTACGGAAGCCAACTTGCGTGAGCTGTTGGAGGTGGCTAAAAAACTGCGAATAGATCGTTTGAAGGCACGCTGTGCTGAATACATTTCAACGCGGTAAGTTACCGGAATCCTTTGAGTTGAGCACTTTAAATAATAGCGTTGTGAACAGGATTGCAGTTGGCACATTTTTACAGGATTTGTCATTTATTAGATTTGACGGCAGTTGCAAATGACTTGCGAGAAGGAATCAATTGGCTAAGTAATATAAGTAAATCATTTCTAGTTTGTACGCTATGGTTACCTAAAACGGGGGGATGTGGGCTTGTCTCCATTATAGGGATCTTTGGTCGAGTTATTCGTTCAACTTGAAATTTCTTCTAACCTAAAATTAGAAGGAAATTTTCGATTTTGAGTTCAAACAACAATGTTCATCTAGGGCTTAAATTCTTAGAAAGTTAAATTAGAGCACTTGACATAACTCATGAAATAAGCCCGGATCAATGAAAAATCGCTAATCAATCGGAAACCCCTCCATGTGTATTCACCAAAACACCTAACTGATAAGGAATAAGCCTCTATTAAGTGAAAACTCAAAAGATATTTTGAAAGGACCATTTTATTAGTCAGAAATAAAAATTTTCTTATGAAAAGCAGATATGCCGAAGACGCGAAAATTCACGTCGAAAAAGTAAACTAATTTTTAAAAGTAAATGAAGCCTGTCTTTGCAAATTGCTGAGGAAATAAAGCGGTCTGAACATAGGAACGCCTGTGAAATTGTTTTTTACATACTATTGCAGTATACATAATCCAAGAATAAGTGTACTGTAGGCTCTGCAAAAACGTCCCACCGAAATTGCCCAAAAACTGGCTAAGCCATTGTCCGTGTTGTGCCAGAGATCGTTCGACACTGGGATTCTTCCATGGGTTGGAAAACACCCTACCGTACATCGATTCACAAAAGTGGTAATTGTGCAATTGCGACCGGCTGCAGACCCGTCGGCTTGACATCAATCTGCTGCAAAGTCATGAAGACCATCGAAAAGGCATTGGTGAGTTTTTTGGCAAACCCACAATATCTTGTCCAATGTACAATACCACTTTCGTAAGAGAAAATCAGGTGTAGGGAACTTGCTTTACAGAGTGGGAAGCTGGTCATTTTCACTCGATTAAAAACTGACTGTGCAGGCCTGCATTGAAGGCTGCTGCCGACTGCCATCATTGTGATGCCTAGCGTTCCTGTTGGACATCCTGCTGCCTCAAGGTCATCCTCTGTCGCAGCGAGCGGTTTCGGACGCGCGTTGACCCGCAATCCCCCGACTGACTTCAACTCGGACACAAGTGAGTCCACACAGTCGCAGCTGCTCTTGAGCCGCTTGAGCACACCATCCCTCGTCGAATGAAATACGCGCCAATTGGACAACACTTGAGCTGGCTCCACAAACCCAGTTAAGTAGTAGTCTCCGCTTGTCTCCTAACAAGGTCAACACATGCCCTGGCCTTGCCAGCGGTCATTGCTGCCGGAGAGGGCGGCACAGGGTTCTGTATACAATAAGCCCCTCATTCTGGCGACTCCCGGCTTTTCCCTCAGCTCGAGATTTAGCCTGATGATTGCAGTGCTCTTTGTACTCCCATTACTAGGTGTTTCGCCCCACCATCTCCTGTACAAGTTGAGATAAATGGGTATTAGGAGCAAACTTCTTGAGTGGACCGAGATCATTCACATTTCAGCGACGATTCCCAACTCGTTGACTAGCAGCTACTCGACTGACTTGAGCTCAGTCACCCCTGCGTCCACACAGTCGCAGCTGGCCGTGTGCCACTTGAGCACATCACCTCTCGCTTAATACAACACACCAACAGGACAGCACTTGAACCGGTTCTCTTACAAAAGCAGCTGCCGCCACTTGTTTCACCCTCTCTCTCTCTCTCTCTCTCTCTCTCTCTCTCTCTCTCAGGCACGACCTAACACCGTCAGCACATACCCTGTCTCCGCCAGCGGCCACTGCTGCCTAAGAGGACAACTCGGGCGTCTGAGTGCAATTAGCCCCTCATTCTGGTGATATCTGTCTTTTCCCTCAACCGGAGACTTGGCCTGATGATTGTAGCGCTCTGTGTGCTCCCATCGCTTAGACACTATAGGGCCCTCCATAGTGTTTCGCACCAACGTTGCCTGTACACGTTGGATATTAGGAGCAAACGTCTTTAACGGTTTAAGAATTTCCTCATCGGTCGTCCCCAAGTTCTCTGTGTAGAGTAATAGCACTCAAGGCTTACAACCACAGAAAGTGGAGTCCCACAAGGTTTAGTACTGGAGCCGACCCACTAGGTTCTGTGTACAATAAGCCCCTCATTCTGGTGACTCCCGGCTTTTCCCTCAACTCGAGATTTGGCCTGATGATTGCAGCGCTCTTTGTATACTCAGTGCAAGGCCTTCGATTGTGTTTTGCCCCACCATCTCCTGTACAAGTTGAAATAAATGGGTGTTAGGAGCAAACGTCTTAAATGGACCGAGAATTTTCTCGCCGATCGTTCTCAAGTTGTCTGTGAAAAAGTGACAGCAATCAAGGCGCACAGTCATAGAGGGTGGAGTCCCACAAGTTTCAGTACTGGGAACGACCCACTTTTCTCCTGTTTACTAATGGTCGTGCACAAGAACTGGATCGGATGTGTCAGGTTTGCGGATGATATGAAAATCTGGAAAGTCATCCACAGTGCTACCGACGAAATGGACTTCCAAGCAAATCTTTGTCGGTTACAAGAGTGATTCCGAAGATGACTCCCGTCATTCGACTGAAACAAATGCACCATGCATCGTCTCGGGAATCTAGGCCAGGTCTCTGATAGGTGCACCTACCATCTGAACGGAATACCATTCCGAGAAGCTGAAACACAGTAAGATCTCAGCGTTTTGGTGGCTAACACTCTAAAGCCTTTTACAAACTGTTGTACGGCGACTGAGGGCACGACTGCAATGCTGTGTGCTATCAAGCGGACATTCAGAGTTTTCGGCGAAGACCACTTCTCCAAAGTCCCTGGTATTCTGCATCCTAAACATGCGACCAAAATCTGGAGTTCCTGGACGCAGCAGGGTTATAGCCAACACGAGAGAGCGCAGGGCCGAGCCACACAATTAGTAAGAGGTCAAGGGGCACTGTTATACGAAACTCACCTAAGTAACCTATATCTCCATCCTCAGAGTGTGTCTCGAGGAAGATTCGATGTAAAAACGTATTTTCTCACAAACCGTGTAGTGAAACCATGGAATACCTTGCCTGAGTCGATTGCAATGTCTCAGTCTGTGGAGACTTTGAAATATTGCCTTTACAGACGCATGCTGCAACACTAAGCGGACTACGGGACTATTTAACCTCCAAAACAAAGATGATTATGTGAAACTAAGTCTGCTTCCACGGAACACTGTAATTTCCCTACATTTTTGTTAATTCTTGCGGGTTGTATGTGATAAATGGGGAGGTCAAAGAGGTAGGCGTATTTTCCTCAAATAGACTGAACTAAACTTCACATAGTTAAGAGCGTACTGTTTGGTCGTGTTGCTCTAAAGCATGTTGCGAGAATATTACGTAATTTTTTTCCGTTTTCGTATTGTTCAAGATGCAGCCAATTAAAACGGAGATAATTTCGCTCGATTTTGTTGGTAGAGCCGTCACAGAAAAATCAGTTTCCATAAGGTCACATGTTGAGAGGCCGGCCAGCGACTAAGAAATTAAAGTATAATTAGGGGATGTAATTGTAAACACATCGTTTTCTGTGTATAAAATGAACTTGTTGTGACCAGGCGGTGTGAATGTGAATGTCTGTACTCAAAGCGCGACTATCGTCAGGCTAAATCGCATGTTTAAACGAGGAACACGGAAGGCACCAGAATGAGAGGTTTATTGTGCACAGAAACCGGAGTTGTCCTCTCAGGCGGCGGTGGACACTGGCGGAGCCAGGGTTGATGTTGACTGCGTCCAGTCATGCCTGAGAGCCCCTGATATAGTGGTGGCAGCCGCATTTGTAGTCTCGTGGGCCAAGCTCAAGTGGTGTCCAGTCGGGGTGTTTTGCATTTGCGGAGGGGTGGTGTCTCAGTGGCCTGTTTTGCTGGTTTCAGGGGGTGGCGCGTTCAAGTGGCGCATGGGTAGCCGCGACGCTGTGGAGACGCAATTGTGTTCGAGCTGAAGTCGATCGAATGGCTTTAGGTTAGCGCGTCTGGAACGGCTCGCTGCAAGGAGTGAATGACCTTGAGGCAGCGAGGTCTTGAACAATGTCGCCAGACCGGTCATGATGGCTGCCCGCTACAAACTTTCCTCCAATGAGATTACTGTGTAGTTTTTGGCGACGGTGGAGCCGGCTAGCTTACAGGGTGTCTTTTCAATATCAGTGGATGTTTTGCCATTTTCAGTTTTCTTAATCGACAGCCCAAAAAAGATAGGTTCTGCAGTTTGTCTGTGAAAGACTCGAAAATAAGATATATTTTAAGGGTATCTATCTAACAAGTGAGCTCTTGGGCGTTCCATTTCATACAGATGACCCTTTACAACACATTTTTAGACTCACCAAATATGACACCTCATCATCTGATTAAAATGGACGTAAGAAATGTAATATTGCTCCAGCTGTTAAAGCCATGCCTGTTCTGTTTCCAAACTACGCATTAGCAGAAGACTAGATGACACAGAAAGTATATTAACATGTGCTAGTGAATTCGAATGGCCGTCTGGAGGTGGCCATTTGCACCGTTTCTTATAGAATACCTGCAAATGGCAGGAAAATATGGATGTGTCAAAACAACGGATTGCCCGTAAGCGTTGTTATGGCTTTTAGGGCACAGAATCATAATGAATTACAAGTCCGAATTTTTCAACTTTAAAAAAGTGCCTGTTGTGTTCAAAGTACTCTGCTTGTTCACATCCAGCTTCATCTGAATTACGCGAAACAAAAGTCGGTTTCCAGGTGGGCGACGATTGGTTCGGTAGACGTACCCAGTTCTCATGCAGATAGAGGTAACCTGGATAGAGGTAAAAGTTGTGAAAGGTTCATGCATAAAATTACTTATAAACGTATTCTCCATACCAAAGGGTGCTTTTGTGGAACGAGTAAGGCGAATAAGTAAACTGCACAACATTTAGAATGTCCCAAAATGACTACCTCAAATTGCTTCATGAGGTTTTTATGAGTTAGACCACACACTGTGTGCATTCACATTAAGAGTGGTAGTTTACGCATGGTAGGGTGCAACCTTCGCGGTAAATATTTTGTCAGCCGGGCCGGCTGGCGTAGACAGGGAAAAACAGCATGACTCCTTTTTATGCACTTCCAAGGCTACAGACGTGTGCTGATGGTCTAGCACAGTGTTTCAAGACGCAGCAATGCGCCATCAGTCCCCAACTCCGTTCTGGGCTCTCTGAATCTCGCACAATCTTCTCTACGCCATCGAAATAATACCAGGCATCGGGGTTGACTGCCAATTTGAGCTTGCACTGCAAAATTTATCTCTTCCAACGTGTTCATGTTTATTTCAACGTTTTCAATGCCAGTTAAAATAACAGGTCCTAAGTACCCAGAAGCATATGCTGGTTTTACCCACACATTTCTGTCGCCAGCTTAAGCCTCAACTCCATCCATCTCGTCCTGGAGCTGGCACACAATTTTGCCATGGAGGACATAGTTGAGGCGTGTATGCAGGGTTTTGCGAATGCTTTCGATGCTTGCATCGACGAGAGCGTAATCTGTGAAGTTGGAGAAGAGGATTTCTGTTCTCTTCTGAAGAGGCCTGATCTGCGCATCAAGGGTGAGGCCTCCCTTCACCACGGCATCGTCTGCTGGCTGGAACATCGCTCCACTGAGGAGAACTTTCGAATATCTGGACAGGGCACGTTCGAGTGTCTTGCCTCCTATCCGCATCTTTTCGGGACAATCTGTTCGCTCTTCCTGAAGGTGGATACAGCCGTCCATTTTATGCATTCTTCACATGAGTTATCTTTCAGGCAAGTTTCTTGTCCAGCATATCGGTAATATTCGCTGTATTGCCAATTAAGGTTTTCGGACTTTAGCTGTTGAGCAATTGTTAGGCCGTCTGCATCCATACTTTTCAGGCAGTGCTTATATTACCTGAATTCCGTGATCTTTAGCCGTAATTTCAGCTAGACGAATTATAGGAGTGAGTACATCAATGCCGATCAGCATGGAACATAATCCTCAATTAATTCATGCACCATAACCTGCTGGTTTTTTCTTGAGAATCTCTTGGCAGCCCCATGGAAAAATGATTACCGCTGAAGTGTCAATTTTTTCCATGGATGGACGCCTGCTTGTATCCAGACAGTCCAGTCAGACAGGGTGTATAAACATTTTACGTAGTGCAACTTGATCAAGTTTAGATGTTCCAGTTTTTTCTGTTAACAGGAGGGGAGCATTTTAGCTTCCAAATCTCAGTGATATGTGCAACCGTCGGAACACTCGTCACTTTCTAAAAAGCTCACTGATGTATTCTTTCAGGTTTAACAGCGGATATGCATATTCCAGTTAATGGGATATGGGCGGCGGCACGAGGTGAATGCTCCAGTATTTGTATTTATTTGTGTGTTTTCAAAGGTGAATGTTCGGTAGGTATTGCATCACATGCATATGCCGGTGATTTAGTTCCATAATGGCACTTATAAATGGTCCGCATTGCCTCCTTTGATTTCCAACTGTGTTTTTAAGGCTCTCGCTGGAAAACATTGTGCCATATTTGCGGATTTCCGAAGAACTCGGGTTCGCCGACGTAATTGCCTTTATTGAGTGGACATTATGCAAAAATTTCGAAGAGTTTTCTACGACAGCCGAATTCGCCAAACTATCAAGCAGCCAATTAAAACGCCTTCTGGCACATGATGACCTTGTCGTTGCCAATGAGGTTACGGTCCTTCGTTCATTGGTGACTTGGCTCAATGCTCAGATGCTGGACAGAGCTACCCGTCAGTCGGTGTTTGAGGACCTGTTTTCACTAATTCGTCTGCTCCAAATTCCCGCAAACCTCCTGCACGACGTTCTATCGGAGCAAAGTGAATGTTCCACAAGTGTCAAATGTCGGTAAGTCTTCAGATGTGAACTCAGCAAGTTTTCTTTTTCTTCTCATCGTCATCTTCCCTCTGTTTTTGCCCATTGCACACTCTTATGGCATACCTTTTGGGTATTAATTCGTTTTGAAAACAAACTTTAATTACCAATTAGTTTTTGAAGAAAACACTGTTTGTTCCACATTGTATGATCATTCAACTCACCTGGTTGACGTCCTCGTAAGGGAATTTCCTGACTCCACTTCTTGGATGGGGAGGTCATTCAGCAGGCTCAGCAGCTGTCTTCTCCGTCTGTCGTTAGTCCGGAGGACCTGTGCTATTTGCATCATTTTGGATTTCCCTTGAGGGCGATGAACACCTCCTGAACTTCTAAATGCGCTTCCAGCTCCCTTAGGCGATATTAACTCCTTAAGTCTTCTTCAAATCAATTGATTGCTTTGACCTACCTGGCTGCCATAGCTATTTGCTACTGTCTTTTGGGAGTCTGATTTTGCAAGTCTGCCTTGGTTGGGTTCCGCATGGAATATCTCGGGCCAGCCTTAAGGTGTTTCCCCAGTATTCTTTACTTACGTGGTACATTGTGTGACCATCCAATCCCCCTGACAGCTATCGCCACAGGGTAGCTTTCTGGCGCATCAAGTGAAACTGTCTTAAAAATTGCGCAACAAGTACACATAACTTGCCTCCTTTGCTAGGGAACTCACTCAGCGGGCCCAGCAGCTTGCCAGCGCGGTTCAACATCAGTCCTTCAGCCAGAAGAAGCACTGACAGCTACCTTTTCCAAGAAACCACGCGTCTACCGTGATTCTGGCAGACCTGTGCTATTTATCCTGAGTCAGCTGCCTAACAAGGAAGAACAACACCTCCTGGAAACGTACGAAGCTAACCAAGATGCCTGGAATGCTGTTGTTAAAATCGACTGTATCTGTAATGCGTCTGCAGTCGGCTGTGGAGGTAATTTTTGTTCTTCGTTCGCTAGTTTCAATCCAGACTGCAACCTGTTCGTCTTACCAGAGTACTCGTACCTACTTGCCTCCGCTAATTTTATTCAGACTTGTGCAGGCGCATCTTTGAGCATTAAGTTCCGCATTCATTTGTACCTACAATATTGCTTACAGTGTATGTGCGTTTGTCGAAAACACCTGCTGATCTGCGATATCCTGTCTGCGGTATCCTACTCACATGTCCTTCACCCACATCGTCTGTCTTCCACCGCTTGAATTTTATCTCTCAGTTCTAACCTCAACAACCAGCCCTCGACCACGTTAAGTTGTCTCGACTGCAGTTACTCGTTGCAATTGCTCGATATTTATTGACTCGTAGGTACTTACAAAAACTTTGAAGAACTGCGTTTTCAAACGACGCCCCTCGGCCAAAGTGGATTTGTTCCGGAGCTCCCTATCTACATACCCAACCGTTGAAAATGGCCTGGACGACTGTTTCAGCCGACATATTGGGCAGAGGTTCTGCTTCACCCATTTTAGTAAAAAAGTCGACCATGGCTAAAATATATCGGCTGCCTCGGTTTGATGGAACTAAAGGTCCAATTATGTAAACCACAACGCGTTCATTCGGGCATCCTATCAGTATTGGCTGAGGGACCCTATTAAATTGTCGTGGTGATTTAAGTTGGTTGCACAGGGTGCAGTACCGAATGAATTTGTTGTGTCTGGTTGGTCAACGTGTGGAATTCTCCACGCCCTCGTTGACATTCCCCTTTTCGAGCATGATCTGCGTTCTTTTAATGAACTAGTTTTATGTTCTGACGTTGAGCTGGATGCTCGAGTTATTCAAACTGTAACAAAGGAATTCCTTGGCTAGGGTATCCATTGTTGAGTTTTGTACGTTTTTCATTATTACCTATATTCTATCAATAATGCCGTAAATACACCGACATCACTTTTGGCTTATATGCGTCGCTCGGACTAGCAAAAAAGTCCATACCAGTAGTATCTTCGCCTAAGAGCCCACTCGGTCTTAGGGATTCCAACGGGTCCCAAGATGGGTGTGCATTTGGTAAGATCGCAGTTGGTAGCCAGACATTATGCGTTGATACTGCCGACCTACGTACTTGTTATCAGTAGGTGCGCTCTTACTGATTTAGGCAGGTCGCTCGTTTCGGTCAGGCTGTTAGGTTTAGTGAGGGTTAGGTTTAGGCGTAGGTTAAGTTTTAGGATTAAGGTTTGCGTTTTAGGGTCAGGTTTCAGTGTTAGGGTTAGGGCTTAGTTTCCCGTTAGGGTTACGGTTAAGATTAGGGTTAAGGTTGGGGTTAGGCTTAAGGTTGGGGTTAGGGTTAAGGTTAGGGTTAGGTTCAAGGTTAGGGTTAGGATTGTGGCTAGGTTTTGGGTTAGCGTTGGGTTTTGGGATTTTGGTTACTTTTTCGGTTTTGAGGCTTAGGGTTAGGCTTTACGGTTGCGGTCAGGGTTGCATTTTAGGGTTAAGCGTAGGGTTTAAACTTCTGCTATTGTTCCACCTATTTAAAATTTCCCAGCACTTTTCCTGTTACCTTTACTTTTACCCAGAAACTCCAGCATTCCTCTACCATCCGTTCCGTTCACTCCACACATATAACCCCCTTTCCCACCATTCCCGTACGACAGGGACCTGGCTGTCCGCCTCCCCATTCCTGGCTACCAACTGCGATCTAACCGTGCATTTTAGTGAGGATGTCATCTACCATGGATAGTGGTAGAACAACACGCCGAGGATACTGTTCACCATCTTGGTAGAACAAAACCTCATTGTCCATGAACAATTTATACCACACGGTGTGCAGGCAGCGCGACTCGTAGTCGACTCCTCAGAGTTCGTGTGCACTCAGAGGTCGCGAATCGTTCAAATTCTTTTGGTAGATAGGGCCGCAACGAGGATGCTCCTGCTGAGCTTGAGCCTAGAGACGACATTGATCTACAACCATACCATAGTCTCGACCGTGAGCATGTCTGCGTCCACCTCGAAGTTGATTGGCCGGTTTGGAAGGCTGTGATTGGCTGTGAACCAGACCGTCACTGATACGCGCATGCAAGTACGCGCGAGAGGCACAGCGTTGCAACAAGCGACCTGGGTAGGACCACTACAAGACAGTCCCAGTTTAAATCAAGAAAATTTCATACCTTGCTTTACGGAGGCCTAAAATTTTCAATCATATTCAAGTAGATGCATGAGAACAGTTAGGCCGCCGGAAGTACGTCAAAAACACACCTTGGCATTCGTTAGATTACGGCGCGGATAACCTGCTACTCTTTCCTCACTCCAGGCGAGAAAATGCCCTCAGAGCTGAGTCAGGAATTGGTTCGTGAACGTCAGAAATTAAGTGAGGAACCCACACTCCTCTTCTTGTTCTTCTTCCTCTTCTCCTTACTTTTCCCTTTCACCACCACCACCACCACCACCACCACCACCACCACCACCACCACCATTTATCACTGTCCAAACGGGACTGAGCATCTGTGATGCAAACAAAAATAGCCAACCACTTTTAAAATAGTGGGGAAACAAAGTGATTACTTAAGAAGAATAGATCCAAGTACCGAACGAAATGTTCCTTCATGTTTGCCATCCTCTTGTTTGCATTATCAGCAGTTTGCAAACGAGCCCTGAAAAAAAAACAATCAAACAGTGTCCATAGATTCTACTTCCCTTTGAAAAGGAAATGTATTTGAATAAACAATGACTCTAAGATTATTCGAAGTAGAATAGCCTTTATTTCTCTAAATATTTTTATTCGATATTTATCCGAATTATGCAGTTACTCCCGTTGGACGACGTAGAAACTTGCTTCACGGCTGATAGCAATTATCCGTAAGTTCCATGGGCGCTCTCAGCGAGGGCCTATTGTTAATAAGAACAGACGTGTGTGTTAAGAGGCTACGCTAGCCTCACTGGAAGAGTTAAGAGTCTTAACGACGAGGGACAATATCGATTCACGCATGATGTGTGCTCAGATCTATTTGGGACAAAAATTCAGTCTGCCTGATATTTCGAAGGTCATATCTTTTATCAAGATAATCTAGTCTAAACGCGCAACAATGTCGACAGTTTTGCTGGTGCGAAGTTTTAGGGTTCAGACTAATCCTGTTTCCATCGTTCGAACAGACTCCATTTACACATTCGGAGAAGCAAGCGGGGACAAGGACTGGCGAGTGCGGATTTTTACACCAGCCACAGGCGAGCAGAGACGAGGCTCAGCGGCACCAGCAAAAGAGTCATGTCTTCACGCCGTTGTTTTCGATAAGAAGATTCTTGTGGCCCGAACAGTCTACCGTACAAGTATCTACGACCCCCTTTCAGACGCGTGAGTTTACTCTGCAGACCACTAAAGTATTGATGATTTAATACCAACTGGAAGGGGTTTCATCAATCAGATTACGAAACAGGCCCGTCCCATGGGTGAATCTGGGGTTTTAGATTATTGAGAAAAAGAAAACGAGAGAGAGAGAGAGAGTTGTGGAAACTGTGACTGGGTGCAATGCCTTACAGCATTTAAATTCAACGATCTGGGGTATTCGAACTTCATGAGCCTGATTACCCTTATCCGACAAAGAAAGGTGTCCGTTCGGAACCCACGATTACCCGTCTCGTCCTCCTTCTCGTGCTCCTCCTCCTCCTCCTCCTCCTCCTCCTCCTCCTCCTCCTCCTCCAAGTGTCGATTCGTCTGAGCTGTTCCATTCCCGTCGAATAAAGTATAGCTAGTAAATACATGTCATTGGCATTCACATGTGGGTGTACTTCTACCTATCTGTTCCCATCAAGTGGCATGCCCTTTTGATTCTGACTTGGAATTCCAGACTGCGTCCCCTTAGACAGTGGCATGGAAACAAGAAATTCAGGATGAACTGCCATGTCTGGTTTACTTAACGGCATCCGTTCGTCGTCCCAAGTCCTGCGACACCGAACATGTTTCGTCCTCTAACCAATATCGACCAAGCATCACTCCTCGGGACTTCCGGTGTTCCCAATCGCAGATCTGGAAGCCATAGCTTGACGATGGAGCATCGACTTCAACTGCCCGATGGACATCCGATCCGAGCCCCAATTGCATGGCCTGAAATTGGAAGATGGCACACTTTCGACGGCAGATAAATCAACAGTGGATATTTTAGCCATCCCTACCTCTATCTACATTCCAGCTGCACCGATAGTTATTTAGCTTATTTTGCAATTTACAGAGACCAGCAGTGATAGAGGGGTTGGTGACTGACTGAACCTCTCTCAGACATCAGCCACGACGACAAATCCGATAACAGGATTCGTCTCTTTACCACCTTTGTTGTTGATAATCCTCAGGAGTGAATGATAATTGCGCTGTTACGTCTCAAACCTCGCGGCTTTTGGAGGCAGTGAAATTATCCTGTTTCTCCGCGTTTCTTCTAGATGGTCTGCTGGGCCAGGTTGCGAGTCAACTGTAGTGATTTCCTGCTTGATCTCCGTTCGCGAACGTCATGTTCTGGCCTTGTGCACTCGCACTAAGAATCTAAAAGCCTTCTGCTGGTCTTCGTTTCTCGTCGAACCTGACGCCATAGGGAGCCAAGTGAAAGCAAAGAATTGGACAGAAATGCTGGCCCCTAGGTGCCAACCCTGTGAGACCAGCGGCGTAGAAGTTAACGGACGGATTTTCGTGGCTGGGCTGACATTCAAGGGCCAAAGTAACCAAATAGCAATGTTCATTTCTGTGAACGATGCTCACCCCGATGCCTGGGTACCAGAGGGACAGTGGACTGTAATTTCGGAACTGCGCTTACGCGGATATCACTTCAGCATGGTCCTCGCCTCTGGTGATATTTACATCACGAGTGAGTTCCTTGCGTTTTTACCGTTCGTTCTACCTAATTGCTCCTCGGTTTGTCATTCATAAAGTGTCGCAAAATTGTGTCTTAACAGAATTATTTGGTTTCCCATCCACAAAGGAGGGTTAATGACAGTGTATTTTGACTTTTTCCTCAGGTGACAGTGAGGTGAATTCCAGCAGCGGAGAGTATGCAATGGTTTTTCTCCCAGCGGTCAAGGAGCGTAGGCCTGGAGGGCCCTCAAAAAGTTTGTCGGTATGTTGTCAGCTGAACCTTATTGAAAACAGGAATGCCGGCTGCGTCATTGTCAACTGTCTGATCAAAACTAAAGTTGCATAATCGGCATCGCCCGTCCGCATACTTGAGAGACAGAGGGTCGTTTGACGATCTAAGGTCATCAGTGTAGAATGAGGAAAGGTGAGGGTATAAGATGGGACATTGAGGAGCGCTACAGTCCGGATACTACTTGACAGAATATTCCAAGCTGCTGCAACAACAGCTACAGTAGGTGGGCTAACTCTTGAAATGTCAACCGAAATGGGTTTTCGTTTCGAAAAGATTAATTAAGTAGGATTGCAAAAGTAGTAAGCCTGCAACATAATTCTCTAATATTTCAGTTACCTCAGGATGCCGGTTTTCGAATGAACTTCCTTTCGGCTGAATGCAAAAACTGAATTGACAGGACTAACTCTTCTGACGCTTGCTTTTTACGTTCCTTCAGTTTAGTGACCGGCCAGACGAAAACAAATCAGTGTTACCTGACGGATATAAAACATGACTTTTTCATCAGAATCGAAGCCGCGTTATACATGGATGTCTGCATCCTCCTCTGTAGCTATAATTTAGCCATTAAACTGTCCCTTTGTCACAAGATATGGTGGTTTCTTCTATAATGGGGAGTATTCAGATTGTTGGGGGGGGGGTATATAGGGCGTGAGTGTGCTGGGCCTGACTTCTAATGAACCCTTGGCCGTTACTGCAGTGAAGGGTAAGGAGACGTTTCGAGCGTTGGAGCTATGTTCTGGGAAGCTTGTCCGACGGAAAAGTCCAATTTTATGCCTGCTAATGTCACGAGGATGCAATTGTGAAGCAGAGAATCCCGACGGTATAAACCACAGATTCACAGGAGAGCATTTAACCCAATGTTAGTTTGGCGAGTTTGAGTGTTCTGAAAGTAAAACACGCCTATAATAGTTGAGTCATTAGGAATTTCCATAAGTGAAGGAACATTTTCTGCTAAAACAACTTAATTCATAGGATTTGTGCCACTGGATTTAGGACATTTTTTGAAAAAAGCCTACAGATATTAGTACCTCTTCGGTGGAATAAAAGGTACTTAGACAAGTCCACCTATGTGTGGTTGCTTTGTTGATGGAAAATTAGAATTCTAGGACATAGCCCACGATATTAGCTCTGAACATGGGCCTAGTCGGTCACATGTGCATCCACGGAAGCCGAGATCACAGCAGTATCGACACCCTACCACACCCTGAACAACCAACAACCCTCCCGTATTCAGCACTATCAACCCCCCCCCATACACCGACACGATCACGGCTAAAATTCTCACCACTCCAATTGATTCTACAGTCCCGAACGTATCCTATTCTCATCGTCATCGCACGTGTACATCACGCGTCGGCCTGATCGGTCACTTGCTATTCCACCGCACAGAGTGACAAATCAGTGTCAGATGCACTAAAATACACGCGCCGAACCTCAACTAGAAGGCCTGGAATCCTGGAGAGAGAGAGAGAGTGAAGTCTACACTATTGAATAAATCCTCACGGCACATAAGCGTATTCCCTACTATGACTAATTTGAGTACAAAAGGGAAACGAAGAGAGGTTCGACTGGAGACTGAGATGGCCCTCATGGACTTGTGTGAGGCCTCTTTAGGGGGACAGCTTGGACAAGAGCATTTTTGCACGCGTCATACGCCTTGGTCAGTACGTGGTGCTTGTGTCTGTGTGGCGGATGTAAACGGCCTGTCAGGAGTTATCAAACACCGCGCCTACGCCCACCTGTAGTCGTCCCGGCATTGTCTTGCCGTCGGAGCAAGGTGGGCGAGGGGAGGGAGAGTGTGAAAGATTTTGCACAAGTCTGCCTCACCATAAACTGATTTACGCAGTAGTCACCGTTGCTGCTCACAATCCACAAGGCACTCGACAGTCGAGCTGTCATGGTGTGACAGCAGGTGGTCATTCATTTCTGACACCCCATCACCTGATGTCGACCCCGGGCAGACTGTCTGTTCGTCTGTGGTTAAATCCCCCTCTTCATCTGCCCACACTGTTCACGCACATGCCCTCACCGCATAGGCCCACTGGGTCGCATGCGCATCCATGAAAACCTACGGTAAATCGCCGCAGACACGACCACACCGCTGCACATTCCCCCATCAGCACATGCACCACGCATACAACCCTCCAAAACCCCACATCATCGATAATTCTCGAGTAAGTGGGAAGTGGGCTTTTCGTCTCATTTCCCCGCATGTGACTCCTCCGCTACATATGAGATCCGAGCGCTCTACTCCCTTGTGTGTGAAATCCTGGTGAGTGCTTGTGGGAGGCCGGGCGGTGTGCATGTGTGGCGCCTGCAAACTGGCTCTCTAGCTCTGCCAGCCGCTGCGCCCACTTCGGGCATGAGGAATCTGAACAGCTCGGACAGTTGAGTGGTGACTGGGAGTGGGAAGAGAGAGAGAGAGTGTGTGTGGATTCGATGGTCTCAGCGCATAGTTCTCCCTGTAAACAGTCTGGCGGGCCTGAATTTAGAATAATGCGCTAAAAGTTGTGACTTGGAAGGTTGTCAACTGACGGGACAACTCTGAACGTACATGTAGGCTATAATGGCTCCTTCTTAGTGTGATCCATTCGGAAATCCCACTCCGCAGAATTCGAACCAGATGTGGCAGCACGTCCAGGTGCGAATTTTTGCTGTGCTACTCACCTGCACTCTCTCACAACTCGGGTCTGTTTGCCACGGGACTAAGGCGGGAAGGTGGAGAGATTACGGCAGATGCCATTTAAGTCTAATATTGTTGTAGACGAATTTGCGCGCTATTCATCGTCCCTGCTCCCGCCCTGCGGTGGACATCGTCAACAACGGAGGTAGAGGCCATTTAATTTTAATATCGCTGTAAAAGAATTTGTGCGGCATTCATCGTCCCTGCTCTCGCCCTGCTCTGGGGCACACAGTGGACATCGTCAGCAACGGCGGTCGAACTTTCGTCATTGGCAGGTCTGATATGCCCGCTGGAAAGTCGATGTTTGCATAAGAATCTTGCTTGATTTTATCTAGGTCATTTTTGATTTTTGCGTCCGCGACTAATTTTAGAGAGCACACTCCGTTTGGACGAAACGGTTTTGCGGAGTTCACTGAATGTTTGCAAACCTTTGGTGACGGAATACTGGTTCTTTAATTCAAATCCGGCAAGGTCACTTGTTCATTTATCTAAAAGTGTTCTTTTCGTCTTCTTTAGGACATCTCAATGTCATCATGGAGGTGGTGGCCGTTGGCAAAACCGGCGGGCGGTTCTAATTATGAATATGGTGGTGTTTTTCTCCAGCCTACTCATAAAAATGCAACCGACAATTATTAAGGCCTACCTCGGTGCAAATCGCTTATCTGCCTACGACGTTCTTATCACAGAAACGACCATTTATCAAGCGACTTATCTAGGTCTGTACCCTCCTCCCACAACAATCACTGTTCTGTCAAATTTTTGGTCTCAATAAAAACATGACACTTACATGTTAAGATGTGTTTCACGCTTATTCTGTGTTGCTTCCAGTATCCTCGATGTCTTTTTAGTCAAGGATATCTTCCTATGACCGGACAGCTCGTCAATCTGAGTCTTTATGGCACTGTCCACTCCCTTCAGTTTGACCTAAGTACTATGCAGTCAGGCCGTTCAACCGACGTGGCGTCCGCCGTATCTCCTCCTGTACAGAAACCGAGAATGTACTTGTCACCATCAGAGTCACACGGCACAAGCACGCTCCCTACTATAACCTCCCTCGCGGTGCATTTTACAGTCTTAGGCAGGGTGTTCTAAGGAGTTTTCTGTGGATATTCTGTAATCGCAGTTTCCCGATAGCTCTTGCTCTCTTGCAAAGCTGGTTTTCCTCGTGTCAGAGAACCTTTCGTTGTTTTGCCTCCATATCCGCATTCGTCCGCAAACGCGCCTCAGTCAAATAGCTCAGTGCAACCCGGCTGGTCTGTGCCTGTCCTTCGAAGAACGACGCTTTAAGCCATCTTCTGCCCCCTAAACTGCATTTGTCCAAAAAACCGGTAATCCATTTTCGCCTGGAAAATACAGAAGGTGGCGTGAACCAATCACAACGTACGCACATCAAGAGCTCCCTGTGATCCCACGTCATTGTTATCGCTGGACAGCCCACTAATTTAAAGAACTGCTGTGCCTCAGAGGGAACTGCATTCCGACCCCCTAACTCCCTTAACATCACGCTCAGGCAGTCACGGTAGTCGCGATTTACTTACTGGCTCCCTGTTTTGGGACACTAGTTCCGCTAACATCATCATTTTGCTGATCGCAAAGTAGACACTCTTCCTGCTCAGTTGGCTAAATAGCGCTCAGGAGGGACCATCGTAGCGGCAGAGTGATTGCTTTATTAAACCTCTTCCCCACCACGCGCACAATGCGACGATCGCCCTCACCACCGATACTCAGCATTCCGGTGGCTCGCTGCCGTCGATCACCGCACATCTCCAACGTCCCTGCGAAAATCTCCGCAGTGACGACCATCCACGACGACGACCATTGCCGCCGCAGTTCCTATTCCCTCTACCGGTCAAATAAATCCTGCAAATTCCCTCTGCCTCCTACACAATCAGATTCATATGCCTGTTTATAAATAGAGCAGTATAAATGCAAAATTTCCATCCCCCGGTGTGAAAACCTGGTGTGTTGTGCGGACATCCAGGTCGTGTTTGGCTATGTCAGTCAATTTCGCTCAAATTCCCACCCGTACGAACAGTGGACTGGTGCCTGTGGGAGGGAAAAAGAAGTGAGGTTGACTCTGGGAAATCCATCACCGCGGCACCCAGTGCATCTTCTTTACCGTAAGCAATCTGATGCGCTCCGAAACTCTCATGATGCGCTAACTTCCGTGGCTTAGGAGACTACCAACTGATGGCATAATTCGGTCCTCTTCTCGCGATGGCGAATCAGGCTGCGATGGCTCCTCCCTAGTGTGGCCCCTAAGGCACCCCCGCTCAGTGGGATCCGAGTTGCCTCTTTGCTGGTTCTGCGAAAATCTGGTCCACCGCCCGCGAATCAGCTCGTGTGTGGCACGTGCAGACGGGCTGTTTGGCCTTGTCAGCCACTGCGTCCCATCCAGCCACCGGTCTTCTTGACTCTACCTTGACGTCGAACTCCGGTAGGTGGGGGCGTGTGAGGACCTTGGATGCAATGCAAGTCCACTATTACCATGGACTAAATCATGCCTGATAGTACTTGCGCCCACCATGCTGTAAGGCACACGGCGGACATCGTCGTTTGCGATATACAAAACAGAGATAATCGACTAAACAGTAAATTATATGCTGTCGCATGGATTGTTTCTGCGCAAGCAACGGCAGTGCAATTGAAAATAACAGACTGGAAAGGCTGGGGGACGCACTGATGAGCCTAACCCCTCGCAGCGGCAGAATATCGAAGGAAAACGCCCGTATGGGCTTTTGGTTAGTACCAGTGCTGTTTGCATTGTATCATCTTACCCTAAAATATACTACTTGCCTGACGGCAGTTAATGGATATTACGCGGTCATCCACCGTGGCTGATAGACTTCGGCCCAGATGTTCATACATCAAATTTCGGTCTACGCCTATAGACCCTAGAATATACTGATCGACTCCAAGCTCGCGGATAATTTCTGAGGAAATTAAAAAGCTACAAGGATAATGCATTGTCTACAGAATGACTGGATAAGAGGTTGGAACACGCTGGTAACCAAAAAGAGTGGTAGCGTCCGGTGCCTCGAGAGCGGACGTCCTACGTGACGTCATAGTCCCTCAAACGCTGGCATGTCTGCGTCGTCCTTGAAGTTAATTGGCCGGTGTTGATATCCGTGATTGACAGATGGGCATATTGCCACTGGCATGCACGAGCAAACACTCGCAAGTGGCAGAGCACTGCAGCGGGCGTCCGAAGGAGGACAAGTGCACAACCGCAGCTGCATTTTTCGCAACGCGCAAAGAAGGACGAACAAGGCTGCTGCATCGGCAACGCTTCGGCATGATAATAGGGAATGGAGGTGGAAGTTTTCGTTGAATATTAATGATGAACTGGCAGGACTGGATCGCCGAGACAGAAGTTCTGGAACGGACTGGAGTCCTCAGCATCCATACCATGCTGAGGCAACTACAACTGGGATGGAGTGGCAACCTCCTGAGGATGGATGACCAGTGCCTACCAGAAAAACTCTTATGCGGAGATGTTGACTCGGGTGCTTGACGATAGGGAGATCAAATCCGTCGCAACAGGGACCCATTAAAACGGCTAAATACAAACCCGGCACTTCGGGAAAACCTCGCGCAGGACCAACCGGATCAGAGAAGCGTAGTGATGACTGGTGAAGCCATCTATGAAGCCAACCTCATCGCTACTGCTAACATCAAGGCGTCCCTGACCCTCAACGGCAACCTCCAGGCCTTCTCCACATACTCGAACTGTCAACGAAAATTTCTGCGCGTATTGCCCTCGTCGGACGTTTGAGGACTCAATGCAGTCTTGAAGAAGGAGACACGATCGCCGGGACAAGAGCTTTATTAGCCTGACGTTTCGGATTCCTACTCGAATCCATCATCAGAGACAAAAGAGCAGAAACGGGTGGTTGTTGCACAAGGGGCTACGGTATTTATAGGGTGCAGTAGCCATGCTACCGCATACCTATAAACGTTCACGGCTCCCCCCTTCATCCGGGATTGTCACACTTGGTGTGATCATTGCTTGATGGCGGACATTCGAGTCGATAATTGCTGCAATTTCATCACGTGCGTTGGATGTTGGCGTGATGATTGCTCGACCATCTGACGCGTTGACCCGGTTGTTGGGACGAGTGTTCACCAGTGCGCTCCCCGCGTGGCCAATTACTCCGCCTAGACGAAGTCTCAGCACGCTGTATTGAATGGGAAGATCGTTTCACTTGTTGATGGACTGGGGGCCAGTAAACCATGATTCCAGTTGCTCCCGGCTCACTCGGTTGTCACCTCTTGCGAGAATTTCGGCCTCATCAAATTTAAATGTGTGGCCGGATCTCGTCAAATGAGCCGCAACTTGAGAGCTGGCGTCATTTCTGCGCACCGCTGCCGCGTGTTCGGCCATTCTCGTTCGGAGCTGTCTTCCGGTTTCTCCGACGTAGTTGCTTTGTCCGCAACTGCACCAGATCCGATAAACGACTCCAGACGCTTCTAGCCGTGGCAGTGGGTCTTTCGGTTTCATGATCAGACTCCTGATGGTAGCCTCCAGTCTGTGTGCCACTCCAACCCCAAGTGGTGCGAGAAGGCGGCCGACAGCTTCCGAAACGTTCTTGACATACGGAAGTGCCCGCCAAGACTTGGTGTCCGTGCGGTTAGGCCTTTCGTCCCTTTTGCGTATGCACCGGTCGACGAAGTTGCGCGGGTAGCCATTGGCTTTGAAGACACGTCGGAGGTATTGTAGTTCAGCAATTTTGTCTTCCGGCTCACTGCAGTGCGTTTCGACACGCCGATAGAGCGTCCTTACAAAACTGCGTTTGTGGCTGATTGGGTGGTTACTGTTGAAGTTCAATAATTGCATCGTATTTGTCGCTTTCCTGAACACTTTGGTCTTTAGTCCACCACAATCCTTGCGGCATACGAGGACATCCAGGAAGGCCAGCTGGTTGTTCGCTTCCTCCTCCATCGTAAATTGAATGTCCGGGAAGACGGCGTTGAGATGTTCTTGGAATGTCAACACCTGATCCCGTTCGATGACGACGAAGGTATCATCCACATAACGGGCCCAGAATTTCGGTCTGTGGTGTTGGAAGACCAGCGACTCTAACCGTTGCAGGACCGCCTCGGCGATGAATCCCGAAATCGGCGAACCCATTGGTGTGCCCTTCACCTGTTCGTAGATTGTCCGTCGAACGTGAAGTACGTCCAGAGACAGAGCTTCAGGAGCTGAAGGATTTGGCCGTGTCCAAGACGGTTCTCCATTCCATCGTATTTGCTTTGTAGTAGCAGTTCGATTGTCTCGATCGCCAGGTCCTGGGGAATAGAAGTAAAAAGGGATGTAACATCAAAAGATACCAT